GAGTTACAAAATTTGTTTTAACTTAATTGATATTCAAAAATCTATCAATCCCTATTGAGAGGGAGATGTGCTGATGAGTTTTTGGCAAAGACAGGTCCAGCCGTTACGGAGATACGAAGCAAAGAGTGCAGAAAATACAAATCGAGTTTTTGATAGAACGAAGTATCTCATTAGAATGATCTAAAAAACATAAAATTTGTAATGATTTGGAGAAGAGGTGATTAGTTTTTAGCAAAGGCAGGTCCAGTCATTTTCAACTAAATAATTGCTTTAGGAAAAAAAAGTTTATTGTTTCAATTTTTTTTCGAAAAAATTTTTTTTGTATAAAATAATTCAGATTTTAATTTTAATTCTGACTAAAGTTAGAAAGCTCACTTATATACATCAAACAAATAATTTTAACTTTGAAATTCAGTTTATACTCTTAGATAATAATTAGACATTGTTACAGTATTTATAATAATCTATTTGAAAACATTTAATATTCCTCGACCATTTTGTTACAGTACGGGAAGCAATTTGCTTTAAGGCACGACCCCATAGTTTTACCTAGTTTATTTTTTTATTTAATATTTTCTTATTTTTTACACTTTTGCCAGGGTAAAGATTCAATTGGCCCTTTTTAACTCACCCACGTCTGAACTTTTATAGAAGTTTTATAAAAAAAAATGTTGATGTAACTTAAAATTGAATGGCTGGTTATACATCTTTTTCTTCCTACTTTCAAATATTGTTGTTAAAAAATTCTTAACTTTACGTGTTTTTGAGATATTGTTGGTTGACATTTTTATTCGCGGACCTTCAAGCCCCGCTCTACCCTATGGCAATAAATGTTTTACCAAATATTTGATTTTTTCTATGTTTGAATCATATCTACTACTACTTTCATGGAAAGTCTTATTTTCCGATGAAAACGAGTAATCGATAATGGGGCCATACCACAACAAAGGAATTTCGACTCATATTCGAATAAAATGAACATGGATATTCGAATTATTTTGCGAATTGTTCAAATAAATCCTTTTTAATAAAAATGCTGTTTGTAGTCAAATTGTAATATTGAGAGTTATATAAAAAAAATTCTGTAGCCTACTAATATTATAAATAGAAATATAAAAAAATTACGAAATTTAATAGTTTAAATTTTAATAATCACTTACTTGCTCACTTTTTCATTAAATATGAAATATTTCGTGATAAATTGGCAATAGAAGTACATCAGATATATGATAGAAGAACCTCGTATGACAGATCATATCAAATTTTATTTAGATTATATGCGAGAATAAAATGAGATACAGAATTTCATTTCATATTTCACTATATTTTTATGCTACTGTACGATGATTTATACGAATACGTAATATGAAAGATACAAACAGATGCAAAAGGTATAAGATATATAAATGTATATATATATATATATATATATATATATATATAATTTTATTTAGTATTATAATTTCTAAAATCAACATAGGCACCATAACAGTATAGTATTTTTGAAGGCATAAATATTTAATTTACGGTTTCTAAATACGTATTATTTATTAATTTTATTAAGTTAGATCTGTTAATAGATATGTTTAAAATGCAAGGTTGGATATAAAATTAGCAAACTATATTTGAATATGAAATAATATTCGAATGATATATAATTTGATCATGAAAAAAGTAATTTAATATTGAAAGGATATTTTTCATATTTATAGAAACTCATCTCTATTCGTTTTTAGGCAACATAACTATTTTGTCTTGCAAAATTAAATTGAGTTTAATTTTAAAGATAGTATTACACTATTTATTTTATGATAATTTCAACATATTTTACGTGGAAATACTGAAATACTGTTTTTGATTACCATGGTTTAGTCCTGGGGCGAGTGTCACATTCACACCACCAGGACGGTTGTGACAGGCTTAAAAATAGGTTAAAAACCAATAGCTATAAATGCCTAAATAGTTTTTTGACGACTTTTATTGTCAGAAATATGTAAGACATCACAGCATATATATTTGAACAAAGCTTGTGAATATAATATAACAATATATAATGAATCATAAATTTTAAACAAGAAATTTTTGTAAAAAAAATTGTATTCTTGTCTTGAATTTTTCTTTTACTTTCTCTTTTGTATGTTGTCTTAATTAAGTTAAATTTTTCTTTATTTGTATAAATAACACCCAAAAAGGAAAAGAAAGACATGTCACATAATACGAAACAAATTGCTGGCAATTAACTACTAATATTCAACTTACAGCAAATTCTCTTTTAGACTCTTTTAAAGCAATGCGGTCTACAGATCATGTTAATTATGAAGCTGATGCAATAATATAAACTTGTTCGAACAAACATACTTTATCTTCCGCCCTTTCGATCCTATCTCAAAATCAGTATAGTGACGACTGTCACTACCGTACCCAAACTTCCCCACATTCTTATATATATATATATATATATATATATATATATATATATATATATATATATCTTAGTTGTCATCCCAAGATTTAATTTTTCTTGGATATTTTCCTAAGAATCAACTCTTTGCTTAAACTTGCTGAGAGAATCTTGCAGATGGAGACAATATCGAAAATGAAAATTTCTTACATTTTACTCCGTTACTTCAAATAAAGATTTCCTAAATATTTCTGACATAGGTCATGTCAATTCAGATGAATTCTGAAAAACATATTCATTATTAAGTTTTTGAATTTTGGAAAAATACAAGTGTAAGCGAGATATAAGCTTTACTTTATTTTATATGAAGGACCAAACCAAATAGATTCGTTTTATATGAGGTGGTATTTATTAAGAAAATTATTAAGGAAATTTCCTTACGGGTTTTGTTAGTTGATTTAGCATGCGTGTGGAATATTCTCATCGAAGTAAATGTTCATTCTATATTTATTTTTTTTTGTAGAATTCAATTACTGAATTTTCCATCGCAGCAACGAGTTATTTTACCTAATAAAAATCGAATTAATCAACTTTATCTTGACCTTAATCAAATCGTACGAAAGGTTAAGTCTGTCAAATCCTTTTGATTAATTATCCTTAATTTCGATTATAATTTATCGTCTTCAGATCTGATACCTTGATTCTCATCTCTCATACTAAGCGGCTAATGAATCGCTAATTGTAATAATCTTCTCAAGGTGAATTCTCAAATGCGAATCCTGAAGGGCTCTCAAATGAAACTTGAACTGTTTATGCATTCAAAATACAATACTTAGCATAAGTATTGTACATATTATAAGCTTTAAAGTTCAAATGTAATTTCAAAAATTGCACTTCAAATGAAACAATCGTTTAGCGAATTCTAGGAACAACCTTAATGCAATGCATATTAAACATAATGAAATAAAAAACATTTCTTCAAGATGATTTATAGAATTATTTTTAATAAAGGCTGGGTGTTATTTTATTTACTTATTGTAATTTATTATAGTTTTCCATGTAATTATTTTCTCATTGTATTTTATTCCGGACATTTATATTTGCAAGATTGTAATGCAAGAGAAATATATTTGAAGTACACACGGGCTTGAAACAAAATTTTAAACTCTAGCATAAATTAGGCAAGAATCAATGAAGTGAAAGAATTAAATTTAATATTTTTGTTTATTTCAAAACTGTATCAATAACAGTAATTAATTACTGTATATATTTTTATTCTAATACGCTGCTAATCCTACTATGATGAATTTTAGAATAGTTCTAGGAATAATGTAGTAGAAATGTAGAATTCTTTCTAACAATTTTTTCTTCACTATTTTATGAAAAATGGTCATCCATGAATAGACATTTGTACATTTCATACCAACGTCAAGCTGTTTGCTATAGAACACTAAAAAACTATACTTGAAAATAAACGAAGTCGAAACAAACGCCAGTTTTTTACATTGACAAAAGTTTATATATACAGGCATCGATCCAATTATTTAATAGAAAAAACTAAGTCATAGTTAATTTTTTTGTAATAAATCTTGCCCATGTTGCGAGTTTACATTTGATTTTTTGCCAGGACATAGCAAACAAAATATTTAAAAAACAGTCAAATTTATAAAATAGTATTATACATTTTTTTTGAACTAAAATCATTTCTATATCACAACATACGTTTTTATTTTGAAAATGATAAATAACAACCACGTTGATTTGTAAATAAATCTACCTATTTGTATAAAGTATACTCGTCAATTCTAGTTATCTGGTTAACAGGGTTTAAATATATATATATATATATATATATATATATATATATATATACTCGTATATATGACAAAACCTTCAAGACAATACATCAAAGTAAAAACTGCAGAAGTTTATAAATAAAATCTTTATTGAAAAACGTTTCGATATATTGTTTTATGTCATCATCAGTTGACTACATTTAAAAATTAGCTTCAAAAACGAATACCAAACTAATAATCATTTACTAAACATAAATTACATCATTTTCAATTTCTCTTGTTTAAATTAAATTCTTTTAAAATTATATTTTGTTTCACTCAATTTTATTTTCAAATATTAAAGTCAAGAAAGAAGTGAAATGTTTAGAACAAAAATAAAATTAACTAGATTATTTTTGAAACCTTTTGTTTATACTGTTATTGTAATTTAAATGAAACATGATTCTGCAAAGCGTCTTTGAGACTCATTTAGATTAATACTTTACTGAGGATGATATAAAGAATATATCGAAATGTTTGGTAGTTTAATAAAGATTTTATAAACTTCTACGATTTTTACTTTGAAGTAATGTCAAAAACAAATGAATGAAAAGCGTACATATATGTATATATATATATATATATATATATATAATTAATCTTTATTAGGTATATATGTTGTGTAACATATGCCTGTGGTTGTGTGTGTAGAGAGTGAACGAGTAGATTATCATTAGCGTAGGCAGTAGTTTTATTATATAAGGTGTGATGTAAAAATGCCTATTTTCGTTCGGCCTAATATACGGCCTGATATTTCATTGCAGATACAAGGACGCGGAACCAGCTCCGTCAGACAGGACGTACGTACTCGTTTAAACAATCCTACTTCTGATTGTTTAATTATAGATTGACATATAGCTAGTCACCAATTTTTTTCTTTTGGAATAGTTTTTAGATTGTTTGCATTTAGACTTGTTATATTTTTCTTTTTTGTGTTATTAGATAACACTTCTTAACACGCATAATTCATTCAGAAACATATGAATGGAGTGATTTTAAGTAGTTACGATTTACGTGCTTAATTGGGATCAACACTAAACTATCTGATTAATCACAACAATCTTTTACAAACATGAAGTGATATTTTCACCAGTTAGGACAGAACATCTTAACATTATAATATTAATAATACAATACATTTGCAAAACATATTTGGAGTCAATTAGTTTATTTGCCTACACTTTGCAATGATAAATCGTTCATTATATCATTAGACAACCTCATTAGAATATACATCGTAATTTGTTCAAGTATTCGATTTCTTGAAGTAGATAGAAGGAGCATAATTCATATATATTTAATTGGGTATTATCACTCATCAAAACAGTAACACTTATTCTCACAGCTGCGTAAATCACTAGTAAAACGCTAATTATTAGTGATTATATTTTTTTTATTAATTCTTTAATTTAGATATAGAACATTAGAGTATGTAGTTGTTCTTGTTTTATAGTTCTTAAAGCTTTGCATGTATCTAAAATATTAATTCTTGATATTTGAAAATTTAACTTGTATTATAAGAAAGCGTTTTTTTCTAACATTTTTCAAAATCTAATTGTTTTATGTGTATTTCTTATTGTTTGTATGTTAATTGTTTTTCTAATAATATAATCATTAACTATACTGAAAATTTGTTGAGAACAACTTATAGATGTCAAATGTATTACGATTTTCTAAAATATACGTTTTAGTAAAAGTTAGATTATCATATAGGTTATTTTTATTACCATATTAAATCACTGCAATATAGACTACAGGTGCGCCATTTATATGTGGTCAATGGAAATGTTGAATAACTTGAACAATTTTCAATGAATTTTGATAAACTTTTTTATTGTCAAATTCAAAGCCTTACAATTCTGCTAAATTTGATAATGAAGAAAAGTTTGTCAAAATTTATTGTAAATTGTTTGTTATTCAGCATTTCCTTTGACCACATATGAATGGCGCATCCTGCAGAACGTCCATGTTATCCGATGCACGATTATGACTCAGTAGACGAACATATGTGTGTTATAGGCGGGATGACTTATATATATATATATATATATATATATATATATATATCTTGTCGATAGCTCTTGTTATAAACCTGATTTTATTCGAGCAACTCTTTTCTTTTATTTCTTCGCCCATTTATTATTTTTCTATGAAAGTATACCACTGACTAAGAATAAATAAAGATAGATCGTCACTTACTATTAGTAACTGAGAACCATTTGTCAGATATCTAAATTCTTCTGCGAATACCGTTATGTTCACGAACTGCGGAATTTATATTGATTGACTAATGGTCGGGACGAAACTTTTGTGTTTATCATTGCACTTCTCAAATATTTTGTCAAGAAAATCATATAGATAAAAGTTTTATACAACTGATTTCTTATCTAAAATTTATGATATATTATACCTACATATGCTATAATTCAACACCATGTATATAAGTTTCTTGTAAGAAAACTGGAGAAATTGAATGGTATCAGTACGTCTCTAAATGCGTGAATATTCGAACGATGTTTACTATGGTAGCACATGTGAAATAGTAAGTTTTCTGTAATTTTATAGGAGTTGAACACCATAAAATTTTAACAATGTGCAAATACTAAGTATCGTTTTATTGGCACTGTTTACATCAATTATAATTAGTCAAGAAAAACTGTGTTTCTAGAGCCTAAACGAACATATTTTTACGAAGAGTTTATAATATACTTATTGCAAATGTTTTTATGCACTCATGTATTTAATTAATTATTATATTAATTCAAGTGCAAAAGTAATTTTCAAAAAAATTATTTGCCCCTATGATATATTAGTAACCATAAAATATGGACTTATTAATGCATTAGGGTTGATTCTTTTTATTTTGAAAAATAGTTTTTGTTAAAAAAAATCGATATTATACATAACCCTATAATGATTTTATTAACTCTTTAATATATGATAATGTCTATAAATTTATAATTTGATTCATTTAACTTTAAAGATGTAATTGTTAACATGACATCAGCGCAAGTATAAAAAGTGGCGTCAAAGAAATCATTTGTGACTTTTACAAAAATATAAATTTAATTCGGTTTGAGCTGAATTACAGAAGTATACTTGAGGCAATCATTAAGTAATTGAAAATATTATAAAACCCATTATAACAAGTTTCAAGATTTTTTTTCACTCTTTGAGAAATCAAGGATTTTTTATGTATATCTAGGATCTTTAGGAGCAGGTGTTTTATTGCGATTTTTTAACAGTGCATTAAATGAGAATTTTCCTTGAAATTTCCTTGAGTTTTATTTTATTGGTATTTGAGAACCATTGGTATGTAATATAACTTTATTACGGTCAGTAGCATTTATGTGCCATATTGAGAAGCACCAAACCGCAGCTTTTTCAAAACACTAAAACGAGCTATACTCAAGCTTTATGTTTATCGTTTGTGTACATTATTTTTATGAATGCACTTCGAAATTCTAAATACGCATATGCTCACTGACCGGTCCGAATTTGCAATATAAAACGCATATCAAGACGTTAAATTACCCTATACAAAGAAAGTGATTTTTATTTAACGACCACATACTTGTATTAAAACAGCAACGTTTGAAAATATAGAATTAGACGTATAATATTGCTAATAGAAATTAAAATAATCATCATAATTATATAGTACTTACATAATTAACATATTACATTTGTGTCGCTTTCGAAATCATATATAAGAAAATATTATAAAGCTTGACTGAACTATAGAGAAAAAAACGAATGGAATAATTTATCCTTTTACTTTTATATTTAAAGATAAAATTATTATTTTACCGTAAGCTTAATTAACTAACATTGAAACGATTGAAACTCTTTTTTTAGACAAATTACATGTATTTAATTTTACATGTTGTACTTTTTATACTTTTTACATGAAATTTCAGATTTTATTTCGAATTAGTTAATTTTAATTAATTTTAAAAAAGTTTGTTGTGACTACAAATCGGATTTGTTAAATTTGTTTTATTGCCAACTCAGTAGTTCTGAATTGTTTGACGCAAAAATTGGAATAACTTGGTGCATGTTTAGTGTTAGAATACAAATTTGGCTTTTCGACATTTTTTTCAGAGCGACTAATTCAAATCTTTAAAAATCGTTTAATAAACCTCAATAGTTATAGGCGTTGAATAGTAGAGAAAAAATATTTTTTCACGCACGATGATGACATGAATGTGAATATAAAAAATAGTAGTTCATCATGCTAATTTGAAGATCAGATGGAGAATTTTCTCTTAAATGACTGTTAAGCAATTTTTAATTTTTTTAAAGAAGTATTTTGAATATTGTGAAACAATAAATAGGTTTCAATTATTTTTAACAGTTTAAAACATAATTTTTCACTTACATTATCTCGGAAAATAATAATGTTAGATGAAAATCGGTTAGGAATTGGGTCGCTTAATTCTTAGTAGAAGCTAGGTCGGAACATTTTTTGCTAATTAGCAACTGATATATGTGTATGTATATGTGTTTTTAACACAGAAATTAAAATTTCTTAAATTCGGGTTGATCCAAATTGATTGGATAAAATATCGACATTGAACCAACCGATTTGAATAATTCAAAAAACATTTGATTTCTAATAACGGGGAGTCTTGCTGATTACATTTTGGCCAAGGCAGGTCCAGCCGTTTCGAAGGTACGGGTCAAAAAGTGCCAAAAATGGTAACTCGGTTGTTGAGAGAACGGAGTGTCCAATTCGAATCGTTTAAAAAACATTCTACTTGTATTCACAAAATAAAGAAGTGATTAAATTTTTGGGAAGGCAAGTCTAGCGGTTTTGGATATCCGATGAAAAAAGTGGAAGAAGATGCTTTTCAGCGATCAAAAATTATCATTAGACATATGCACATCAAATTATCAGATATTTTATAGAGATTTTGATAATAAGTACATAATTTATTTACATTTCAATGGGTTTCGTTCCAATGTTTATCAGTTAACCTGCGACGCGGCGCTTATGCGCTTCGACATTTCATCTCTAAAACAGCTATGCAGCACGATTGCTTTGAAAAAAATCTAAGTTTTTAAAAAATTTCAAAATATAGAAAAATATTTAAATTTTTTAGAAAAATCTTTCATTTTCAAAATTTTCAAAATTCTTAAAAATCTAATTATTTCAAAGTTACAAAAAAATTGAAAGTTTTTGAAGTAAAACTTCTTTAGGCGCGACTAGGGTATAAATCCATACACATAATGCAACGGCAGTGCGTTACGGTAGATAAGATAGGATAAGAGTCCTGTGCCAATGATTCGTCATTCGCTCTCGATGATATCTTTTCTATACGGGTCGATTGTGATTAGTCGTGGCGTATGTGAATAGAGATCTCTCGTTGTATGCGTACTGGCGTCAACGTTGTATGCGTACCGATATCAACAAGGAAATCGGCATAGATAAACATTTTAAAGTTACATCGTAGTACTAATGTTGATTTAATGAAAAATGCATGAATCAGAAAAATATTTTACTCTATTTCTTAATATTTTACCTTGTTTATTAGAAATTATTTTTATATTATTCGTAGTTTCCATAAATCTTCGAAGTTATTAAAATGCAAAATATTTTTAAGACAAGACAGATATTACAGTTGTTCAAAGAATAAGATTATATCGCGAAAAAGTAAAAAATGTACAGGCAGTCAATGAATGTATGTTAATTTCAATTACATGAAGTTTTTCAAACACAATTACATGATTGAACATAATCCACTGTGCGAACGAATATTATAGAAGTTATTAATCAGCAATTACTTCATTTCTCTAA